TTTTTTTTTAAAGATTTATTTATTTATTTATTTATTTGACAGAGATCGCAAGTAGGCAGAGAGGCAGGCAGAGAGAGAGGAGGAAGCAGGCTCCCCGCTGAGCAGAGAGCCCGATGCGGGGCTCGATCCCAGGACCCTGGGATCATGACCTGAGCTGAAGGCCGAGGCTTTAACCCACTGAGCCACCCAGGCGCCCCTAAAATAGTAGACTTTTAAATATCAGAGCAATGTATACTTTTTATAGAAAATTTGGGAAGTAAATAAGAGTAAAATTCTAGGGGAAAAAAATCACAGTCCCACCACCAAAGGAAAGGCCTTTTTAGAATTTGGTGTGTTTCTTTTTTTTTTTTTTTTAAAGATTTTATTTATGTATTTGACACAGAGAGAGAGAGACAGTGAGAGAGGGAACACAAGCAGGGGGAGTGAGAGAGGGAGAAGCAGTCTTCCCTCTGAGCAAGGAGCCTGATGTGGGGCTCAATGTGGGGCTCGATCCCAGGACCCTGGGATCATAACCTGAGCTGAGGGCAGATGCTTAATGACTGAGCCACCCAGGCACCCCAGAATTGGGTGTATTTCTTTTCCATTCACTTGTTGATGTTCTTTGTTTTCAGTTTCATAATTTCTGCTTTTATTTATTTGTTTATTTATTTCTTTTGCTTGTGTTTATGTATCTTTTATTCTTTCCACTTTGAGTTTATTGGTATTTTCTTTTACTAACTTCTTGAGTTGAAAGCTCGTGCCATTATTTTCCACTATTTCCTTTCTGAAAATTTGTACTTTATCCTACGACTAATGCTTTGGCCATATTCAATAGGGTTTTGTTCTTCTGCAAAGTTTTTGCACTGTTGTTCATTTCTAAAGTGATTTTCTGCTTTGAGTTCCTCTTCCAAAAGTTATTTTATAAGGGGACTTAAATTTCTCTGTATGTGATATTTGGGGGAGTCTATACTTTCACATTAATTTCTGTATTTATTGCATGTGAGTGAGTGGATATAAGGGACCCACAGGATTTCTGCTCTTCAGAATTTATTGAGATTTCCTTGTTAATTATTATGTAAAATTCTCTATATTTTCTTACTTACACCTTGTCTATTGAAATGTGATTTTAGAAAGGTATGTGTTACAGTTACCAACTAACTGGATTTACCAATTTCAAGCTTACATGTTAAGTACATAAAGGTTAATGACTAATATAATTTTTGTTTCCCACATATTTTATTAAAATCAATTATTAATCACTTCCCATCTTAAGTCTTTTTCCCATTTTGATGCTTTTTGTCTCAAATTCTATTTTGTCTAATTATACTATTGTCATGTTTGCCTTTTAATATTTGCCTGCTATGTCATCTATTCCTTTTTTAAAAAAAAGATTTATTTATTTATTTTAGAGACAGAGCATGTGGGGGGGCAGGAAGAAAATCTCAAGCAGACTCCCCGCTGAGCACAGAGCCCCTTGCGGGCTGGATCTCACAACCCTGAGATCATGATCTGAGCCAAAACCAAATGTTGGATGCTTAGCCAACTGAGCCACCCAGCCTCCCGTTATCTATTCCTTTACTGACAATCTTCCTATGCCATTTTGTTCTAGCTGTGTCTCTTATGAACTGTATTTAGCTGGGCTTTAAAAAGATTTAATTTGAGAAACTCCATCTTTTAATAGGTAAATTTAACCCATGCTCATTTATTGTGAACATTCACATACATTTAGACTTATTCCTAAAATCTTGTTTTGTGCTGGTCATGACACTTTTTTTTTCTTCTTTCATTCCTTTTATTGGGTTAATCCAAATTGCTTCCGGCCTTGTTATGATTACCTTCTCAGCGTTGATGCTTTTTCTCAAGAGTGCTTAGCACGAAATAAGTCAATCAGTAAAAGACAAGTATCATATGATCTCACTGATATGAGGAATTTGAGAAACAAGACCGAAGATCATAGGGGAAGGGAGGGAAAAATGAAGCAAGACGAAACCAGAGAGGGAGACAAACCATAAGAGACTCTTAATCTCAGGAAACAAACTGAGGGTTGCTGGAGGGTGGGGGTGGGAGGGATGGGATAGCTGGGGGATGGACACTGGGGAGGGTATGTGCTACGGTGAGTGCTGTGAATTGTGTAAGACTGATGAATTACAGACCTGTACCCCTGAAACAAATAATACCTTATATGTTAATTTAAAAAAAAGAGAGAGGTACTTGGCAAAATGGCAATGATCTGGAGAAGAGAGCCAATGGCCGGGCTCCTCCCAATGCAAGTACCTCTGTCCTAACAATTGCTCAGGCCCCTCCTTCTCCTTCTGTCTGTTGCCTTTGAGCTTAGAGCACCTGCAGCTGCTCCTGCCTTTTACTAATGCCCTCACCTGAAGGCAAGTTGGAAAGTGATTTTCACTTGCAAGGTGACCCAACCTGTCTTTCAAGAATTCTTCATGATTTTCATAAAGTTTGCTTTTTAACCTTATTGCTTTGGATTGGTTTTCTTTCTTTATTTCTTAAAAATATCTTTTCATCTAGTGATTTGTGGTGAAGGGGAAGGCTGAAGTACCTATTTAATCTGTCACTTTTATTCCATTATAGCTTATTTACTTTCAAGCATTTTTCTATGTAGACATTTATGTTAATATAATTTCAGTCATTCTGTACATAAAAGTTTGTGTCATGATTTTTTCAGCTAGCATTTTAACTGAAGCATTTCCATATTATTACAAACTACTTATAAACACCATTTTTTAATAGTTGCATATATCCTGTCAGGTAACATGCCATATTCAGCACCTAAATTTTATCTATTTTTTTCACCTGTTACAAATAAGACAATAAACATTTCTGTTCATAAATCTGTTTTTATATGTAAACGTTTTAGGTGGATGTCAAGATTTTTGCAGAATCCCAGAAAATCCCAGTTGGATCATTCCAGATCCATTAACATATAGCACACAAAGATATATCATATATAACACATATTTCTGTATTTATGTATATGTAAAGTACATGGCATGCATAAAACATATATGCATATTTCTCAGAACATACAAGTCTCTTTATGTTACCATGGTTTTTTTGGATTCTATGATTTGAAAACAAAGATGGTAAATCAACCCGAGACTAAGTATAGTCCAAGAGTGGAAATATGAAAT